AGTCAGCAGTGAGTGTGCGCGCGCTCGTTCGTGAGCTGCGCGGACATGGCGACCGAGTCTATCTCCATGCCGAGAAAAGAGATCCTCTGCACGGGGCAAAGTTTGCTCTTTCCCGGTTGACCCGAAGGCCCAAACGGGCTAGGTGCCGGAGCACCAAGTCTCTGTGTTCGCAAAGCTGAGCTCGAGAGTGTGCTAGTATCAGCCAGTCGTCGAGATAATTCAGGATGCGAACCCCGTGTTCGCGAAGGGGAACAAGGGCTGCCTCGACGATCTTCGTGAAGACGCGAGGGGACAGAGCTAACCCGAATGGGAGAACGGCGTACTGATATGCCTGGCCCTCGAAGGCAAACCGAAGAAACGGTCTGTGTCGAGGTAAGATGGACACATGGAAGTACGCGTCCTTCAGGTCGATCGCTGCAAACCAATCCTGATACCGAACACATTCGAAAATGCGTTTGGCCGTGAGCATTTTGAACGGTAGTCGATGGAGAGAACGGTTCAAAATGCGCAGGTCCAGGATCGGTCGTAACCCACCGGTCTTCTAGGGGACAATGAAGTAGGGGCTGTAAAACCCGGACTCCACCTCGGCTGGAGGGACCGTCTCGATTGCACCCTTCGCCAGCAGGGTCGCAATCTCCGCTCTCAGGAGTGGGGCATTGCCACCAACTAACGTGGAGCGAACTCCCCTGAAGCGGGGAGGAGACCGTGCGAACTGAATCGCGTAGCCGAATCTGATCGTTCTGATGACCCAGCGGGATATCCCGGGAAGCACTAGCCAGGCTTCCAGGAAGTGAGCCAACGGGGTCATGTGAACCACAGACGTCCCCCCGGAGGGGCAGCGTGGCGGGTCGACTGGCACGCGTGCAGGGATGACCCAGCTCGGATGCGTCGAAGCCCGCTCCCCGACGGAAGGGACCAGGGAAAGCGGAGCGTTCCACGGGGGTCCGTTCCGCCGGGGGTCTGGCGACAGAGGGGGAAGGGATTGGCGTAGCCCGGGGACGACACTCGCACCCTTCCGCACCCTCAGAGACAGAGAGGAATGTGTGGGCTGACGCACTAGAACGTCGAGCGCACTCATTCCAGACTGTGGGCTCAGTGATGATGTCAAGTCTTTCTTAACCAACTCAGGGCGCTGCCCACCCGTGGGCGAGCAGCGGGAACTGAAAACGAAAGATTTTCCCCCCGGCCCTCCACCGGGGGCAGGAGGGGGCCTGCTCCCGCCTCCTGGGGAAAAACTCAACTCCATCACTGAGCAGCCCGTATCAGGATCATCGCTTACCTGGCGTTTAGCGGGGTGTGCGGCCTGAGGGGGCTGTGACGCCTGCCGGCGGCCTCCTCCACGCCGTGGCCCGGATGAAGGCTGCTGCTGGGGCGGGGCGGGAGGCAGGGGAGCGCGGGGGGGCGTCCTCGGCGGCGAGCAGCGGGAGGCATCTGTGCCGACGACTGGGTGGAGGCAGCAGCTGGTCGTCGGGGCAGAACATGTTTGATTGCCTCCGTCTGCTCCTGGGCAGTGGAGACTGCTGGGCAAGAGTTCTCGACTGCACCGCCAAAAAAGGCCAACCTGGGAGAGAAGGGCGTCGAGCAGACGAATCCGCTCAGCGCTCCGAGTGTCTGCCAGGTTGACGCTCCTGGACCACACTAGTGGCCATCACCTGACCAACGGCGCGAGCGGCCACTTTCGTTGCCCTTTTGGAGAGCAAGGTCAGTGGCGGACCGCAAATCTTCGAATGCCGTTGGATCAGTCCCGCCCTCGAGCATATCTCTGAGCATCTGCGCTTGCACAGTGCTCATCGCATGCAAAGCGGAGGCCGCCCGTCCCGCCGCTCTATAGGAACGCGCCGCCATGGCAGACGAGAACCTACAGGCTTTGGATGGGTGCCTAGGAGGACCACGGAGGAGGCGCCCTGTGGACACAGCTGTATCGCAACAGAACGCTCCAGCGGGGGCATCCCAGTGCACCCACGGGCGGCCCCCCCCCATCGAGGGGGGAAAGGCGGGGGAGAGATCGCGCTCTCGAGTGGACAGAGGAGTCCCCCAAGAGCGCGATAACTCCGCATGCAGCTCGGGGAAAAAAAGGCAATGGAGTTGGCCGTGGCCTCGCGGCGGCAGCTTTGTCCAAAAACCAATTATCCCTCCGTGAGAGATCGGGGGAGAATGGAGGATGCCACTCTAACCCAATACTCCCAGCGGCTTGAGACAGCATGCCGTCAGCTCGGGATCCGACACGGGCAGCGCTGGCTCTCCCGAAGGGGGCAGTGCAGCCACATCCTCATCTCCCGAGGACTGTAACCCGCCTAGTGATGCTGCGATCGACATCACATCATCATCTGGAGCGCTGCTCGAAGCAGCCGGTACCACTGAAGAGGCAGCCGACTGAATCGAACTAACGCTCGCTGGCTCACGCACTGAGGCGGGAGGTGTGGCCCGAGAAATCGTCGGGGCTTTATGCCACACCGTCACCGTTAATTCGCCGGGTCCCCGGTCGACGGGCCCCCTTTCGTGAAGGAAGCCGATCGAGTAAGGGGGACCGGGGCTCTCACTCTAGTGAGATTTTTTTTTTTTTTTTTTTATATATAAAAAATATATATTTTATATATAAAATATATATATATACATATCTTTTTATATATATATATATATATATATATATATATATATATATATTTTAACCTCAGTGTGGAGATGGTCATGTCCCCATAGCAGGAACATGAGTCATCCACGAACGCTGCTGCTGCATGCTGAATGCCCAGGCATACAGAGCAGCGATCGCGACCATCAGATGACGACAGAAATCGACCGCATCCAGAAGAACACGGGCGAACCGTCTTTAAAAAGACGTGCCGCGTGTAGCTCTTTTACAGAGAGGAGGAAATTCACTCTTTCAGCGCTGAGGCGACCAGGGAGAAGCGCAAAGTCTGGCAGACCACTGCACAGATCGCAGGCAATGCAGAAACTCGCTGGGTACCGCCGTCACACCAACACTGAAGAGGACGCTCGTCTCGAAGAGTCTTGTAATAGCTTTCAGGAGTGAAGAGGTTCTCTTGGCTCCGAAGCGAAAACATACTGCGGTTGCGTTCACTTCCTCCTTTTATACTCACAGAGTAGGGCGGAGTACGCTATGCAAATTTCCGCAGCCCCAAGGCATTGCATGCCATTGGCTCGTGTTTAAATACTCGAAGAGGATTGGCTTTCTATGCGAAACCCCCAATCTCCGTCACTTCTGACGTAACTCGAAGTGACTACGAAAGGGAACTCCACTGGTGCACACAGTGATTGGATTTTAGATTTGCAAATGAGTTTTTCTCCCTCAAATATTACAAGCACACAAACACATACACACACACACACACACACACACAAATGTATTACACACATACAAACCACACTCTGACATCCACCCTCACAATTATCGTTAATAAGCAGAAAACAGGAACAAAGCAATATTTGTTTTCATAGGCCAAACCTGGACAACTGGCACCATCTGATAAAAAAAAAAAAAAAAAAAAAAAATAGTAAAAATAAAATTTTTGGAGCCTTGCCAACAGAATAAAAGCCTCTTAACAAAGATTGCATCATACTGTGGTCATAATATGCAGCACTAACGTTATACCAGAGTAACGTCAGAAGAAGAAAAATCAATGAATAAATAGAAACCTGGACCGGAATAAATATGTTAGCAACAGTAGTTTATTACAGCTATTTAATATCATGCCTATACAGCCATCACTAGTCACGTTTAATGAGCGCATTGTTTGGCTCAATACAGTTGGTAATATAGGTTAACCTAAGAACTTGTGCAGAGTTGTTACTGTAGCGCTACTACATTATATAATTAAATTTATATTTAAGCACCCGCTTCGAATGTTATCACTCGATTGAATGGGCGTTATCAGTGGTTAGAGGCTGTAACCAAAATAACATTCAGGGGAATAAATCCATGAGTGATTACACTTGATCTCCTCAGCCCATGCAGAGTATGTGGTTACATTCTTGTAAAATAAATGTTTTTCATTTACATTGCATGAAATTGTTACAATTTTTATTCCTTGCCTCTCTTTTTTTCTCCGTTCTAGTTTTTTGCATTCCGAGTTACGATGGTAGTGCTTTCTTCAGTTACAAATCCTGGCACAGAGGAGATGAATAAAATGTGATGGGTAGATTGTTTTAATCACATTTAAAAAACATGGCTCATCCTTATATTGTTCAGGAATTGACTAAAATTGAAAAATATTTTATATTGACGATTGTCTTTTTTTATTAAATTAAGACTTTAACCTTTTGCTCTGTATGTAGGCCTATTTGCAATCAAAATCCAAATACACAGATTTGTCTAATGCACAATAGATGTTTTGATATCTTTTTTTTTTTATAATTTATAAGGATATTACTGTATATTTAATTAACTTTATTGAATAGAGTAAAATCATATGGCTTATGTTTGTGAATGAATAGACATTAGACTGGTTTCACAAACAGGGCTTTATTAAACCAGCATTAGGCTTTACGCCTTAGTTAAAAACATTTAAGTAGCTTTTATAAATGTGCCTTAGAAAAAAAAAATTATTACTGATGTGCAACTTTAGACAAAACAATGGCAGTGACACATTTTAAGATATGCCAGTGCAATTTGCTTTCAGTTAAAACAGCTCAAACATGCATTTTAGTCTGAGATTGGCTTAAGCAGTGTCTGTGAAACTGGGGGTTAATATTTTACCTGTCACTGGCCACTCAGCATTTAGCCTAACTGATTTCCCCAAATATTTTCCTTTTCCAGTTTTCCAAACTAAGCTGTTGTCATTTGTCATTTGAAACAGGATCTAAGTAATACTTAACTTTTGTATCTTCAAATGTCAAAAGGAAGAAAAGGAAGTTCACAAAAGTGAATACAGCCCACCACCACACAAACTATTCACAAGAAAAGCAATGTGATATACTTAGTTATTGAGCTTATAGTAGGCTACGTCATTACTGTGTTCCAATGAATTGTGTTTCATGCTCTCAGATATTACGACCATGAATGCCTTGTGAATCATGACGTGAAATTGAGCAACATGGTTTAACCGCGTCAGATGCTGTTTCCTGGCCAGACAACAGCGCTTTGTTCGTTTAAAGTGTATACATCAATCAACGAACGATGATGGAGATTTTATTTTTGGACTACTTACTATCAAAACAAGGAATTCTGAAGATAGCTCAGCTCGTAAGTATTCCAAAACGACACCCGGCCGTAACATGACATTAAACCAAACACACTGTGTCAAGTAAAGTTTCATTTTTGTGAATTATAGTCTGACAATTATAATGTCAATTTACTCGTGGCTCTGAATCTTTAGAGTGCGAGAAGAAACAGTATTTCATGTGTGTTCATGTTCAGGTGATTCTCCTGGTAGCGTTCGCTTGCGTTCGCTCGACGTGGTACAACAGCATTTACGCGTACGGTTTCTATGAAGGGGTCACGCTGGGTTACTCCGTCACAATTGTCCTTTACCTGTTACTGACTGTCTTTGGGCTTCAAAAAAAGGCATCATTTGTGAACTGGCTCATAGCCGTGAGTATTGCTCCACATAATATGTGCTGCTATTTCAACCTAAAGCGCATTTCACATCAATAGTGAATTGTCTCATACTTCACACATAACGTCTAGTTGAGCATGTAAATGTGTATATAAAGGAAAAAGTAAAAAAAAAAATGTTAACTCCTTTTTTGTCATAACCTGTTATATTATGTGTTGTCGATCAACCTATTGTCAGATAATAAAACTTTGAAGTGTAATAATTATACTAGAATATAATCAATCATCAAAAGTGCTGTTTAAAATGATTAATATGGAGTATGGCATGTGAAACTGTTATACATACCATGAGGAAAGTATTTGAACACCCTGCTATTTTTCAAGTTCTCCCACATGGAGGGGTCTGAAATTGTCATATAGGTGCATGTCCACTGTGAGAGACATAATCTAAAAAAATAAATCCAGAAATCTCATTTGATTTTTAATCTATTTCTTTGTATGATACAGCTGCAGATAAGTATTTGAACACCTGAGAAAATTAATGTTAATATTTGGTACAGTAGCCTTTGTTTGCAATTACAGAGGTCAAAAACGTTTCCTGTAGTTTTTCACCAGGTTTGCACACACTGCAGGAGGGATTTTGGCCCACTCCTCTACACAGATCTTCTCTAGGTCAGTCAGGTTTCTGAGCTGCTAAGAAACACAGAGTTTGAGCTCCCTCCAAAGGTTCTTTATTGGGTTTATCTCTGGAGACTGGCTGGGCCACGCCAGAACCTTGATATGCTTCTTACAGAGACACTCCTTGGTTATCCTGGCTGTGTGTTTCGGACCATTGTCATGTTTTCTCCCATGTCTCCCCTGGATCACCCAAATGGTGGGGGGTTAACTGCGATTTCACTTTTTTCATTTTAAATAGGGTGTAATGTTGCTGTTGGTGCATGAACAGTATCTGCAAAGTTGCAGCGCTGAAAGTTCAGTGTAAGCAGAGATATCGTCTTTTAAAAATCAGGAAGTATATTGCCTACAAAAACGAATCGATTGGGACTACAGCTGGGTTATGGTACGTCACTAACCCACACATTTGCATCAACCCCTCCCTCAGAATATGCAGAAAATGGCATGCGCATATTTCTGAGGCACATTGACTCGTCGAGTGTGTTGTTCACGCAGCTGTCAGGTCTTCTGCTGGACGCTATACTTCCTCAACAATGGATACAATTTATGTTTGATTATGTTCCTGAAAATGACGATCGTAATCTAGCTCTCTGTGCTGCGCATTTTATGTAAGACAGCTTCCAGAATCTCGACGAGTTCAACACCGGATTCAACAACAAACTGTTACTAAAACATGAAGCAGTTCCAACTTTAAAACAAGAGGCAGCAGTGTTGGGCCACAATCTGTAAGTAGGCTAAGACTGCATCATTTTAAATGTATTTGCATGTATAATTCCAGACGTTGCCTTGTGTTTTATTTTTTTCAAATGCCAGCGCTGGCTTTATAGCCACTACTAGTTAGCCTATGCTATTTTGTGTCTACAACAAACGCGCACAAACATTATGGACCTGAATTTTCTATAAGTACTAATGTTTTAAATGCATTTTTCATCTATATATGCTTTATAACGTTATTTTCAATTTGATCAAGAACGTAAACATGCCAACGCTGTTTGAGTATAACATTAGTAGCCATTCAGTTGCTATTGTTGCCAGTCAGATGCTATTGTGTAAAATAAACATGTATAAAATTTAAAAATGTAGCAAATTATCATTCAGAAACGTTTAGTAAGAGCTGTAGTATGTGGTGAGGTTCTGCTTGACTCTCTTCATCGCGGCTTTCTCGGTCTGATTATGCCTGAAACTGATACTGCAGTTCGACACATATTTACATCTGGACCGGAGCTCATGACACTCACGTTTCGCCCGTAAAGGTAATGGGCAAACTAACCAATCTGAGCCCACTAAGTATTTCTGAGGGAGTGTTTTCATAGAATCAGGAAGTCAACCGCTCGTTCGAGGACAGAGGAGAGCGCGGCTGACAATAAAGGTGAAGTTTATGAAAAATAAAACTTTCAAAAAAAGAAAAACCATGAATACATGTTATATTGCACCCCATAAATACAATCATGCAAAGAAAAAAAGCAGTCAACCCCCCCTTTAAGACGGGCCTTGACATGTGCTGGTTTCAGCAGGGGAACCTTCTGTGCCATGCATGATTTCAAACCATGACGTATTATTGTATCACCAACAGTAACCTTGGAAACGATGGTCCCAACCTCTTTTCAGGTCATTGACCAGCTCCTCCCGTGTAGTTCTGGGCTGACTTCTCACCTTTCTTAGGATCATTGAGACCCCACGAGGTGAGATCTTGCATGGAGCCCCAGTCCAAGGGAGATTGACAGTCACGTTTAGCTTCTTCCATTTTCTAATGATTGCTCCAACAGTGGATCTTTTTTTCACCAAGCTGCTTGGCAATTTCCCTGTAGCCCTTTCCAGCCTTGTGGAGGTGTACAATTTTGTCTCTATTGTCTTTGGACATCTCTATGGTCTTGGCCATGTAAGTAGTTGGATTCTTACTGATTGTATGGAGTGGACAGGTGTCTTTATGCAGGTAACGACCTCAAACCATGGAGACGGCGTTTTTGAGGCTTAAAGCGCAAAAAAGTGAAACCACCCTCCAGAGTGGAAATCTTAAAAACGCTCCACCGCCGCGTTCCCGTGTAAACGGTAAAAACGCAAAAGTCTGCTTGACAGTGAAGGTTGTACGCAGGCGCGTGGACTTGGTGTTGTTGTACAGTAGTATGCACTCCTAGCCACCCAGCCCGTTCTCATCCTTTAACGTCATATAGAACGCTATATGCAAAAACGGCGCTATACTACGCACATGGCACCCTTTATCGTTAATATAACACGCGAACCCAAGACGTTATAAATCCTTTAGCGTGAATATGACACGCACACCCCACACCTAAACTTAGCCCTCACAGCACGTGTTATATTAACGATAACGGGTGCCATGTGCGTAGTATAGCGCCGTTTTGTCGTTAAAGGATGAGAATGCGTTGAGCCACCTGAAGTGCATACTACATTAAATTTCACACACTTTTGGGTCACCATTTGCACGCAGATTTTCCACACAAAACGCTCGGCTAAAAGCAAAATAAAAAGTGATAACGCAACGCCACTTTTGCGTTTTCTCTTCAGAATCATTTCTGTGTAAACATAGCCTAAGAGATCTTTGAGGGTGAGAATTCTAGTTGATAGATAGGTGTTCAAATACTTATTTGCAGATGTATTATACAAATAAATAGTTGAAAATCATATATTGTGATTTCTGGATATTTTTTTTTTTCTTAGATTATGTCTCTCACAGTGGACATGCACCTACGATGACAATTTCATGATTTCTAAGTGGGAGAACTTGCAAAATAGCAGGGTGTTCAAATACTTAATTGTCAGTATCAGTTTTCCATAGTCCTTCCCACATTTTCATGTCAAGTGCTACCAACATTATAATCATATTAGTAAGTATACAACTGTATAAGATTATGGTTGTTCTGATGAAGAATGTTTTTCCATTTGTTCTTCAAGGAGTTTGTGCTCGATACACTGGGATTCATCTTCATCTCCACTGGATCCATAATAGCTGCTTTGAAGTCTTTTGAAGTCCCCGTTCTGATTGCCGCCTCAGTAAGGGTTTCATCACAATGCATGTTCATCAGTTTTATTACATCCCTTCAATCAAACTTCTGATAAAGTAAACCCAGACAGCAACATGGTGCCGGCCCATATCCGGCCCACGTCTGTTATGCATTTATTACGCGGCCGACACTTTGTTACTCTCTGGGAAAGTCCTTCTTTTATGAAATAAAAATGTATGTAAAAGACAGTTGTCACCCGGATCTGGGCCGACACTTTGTTGCTCTCTGGGAAAGTCCTTCTTTTATGAAATAAAAATGTATGTAAAAGACAGTTGTCTGCAGGTTTGGTGGTGTTCTCATTTTCATTTCCATAACTGCTCACCTCCCTATAAAATATTTGTAGTTCTGTCCGACTGATAATATTGTAAGCTTTTCTGATGTTTGTTTTTCAGGTATGTGGTCTTCTGGTCTCATATCTCTTAGTTGGTAGTGTGATACTGTCATTTGTTGCCACTCAACGCCCACAACCTGCGGGTAAGTTGTGCGCATTTTCAGCTCTTTCTGTATTTCAGCATAATAAGATAAACTGAACATAGCTGGATCTGTAAATTGTTCATGCGCTTCTGGATCCTGACCTCATTATCTAAAGTAATGCATTTCTATTCCAGATCCATCAGTATAAAAACCGTGTTTGATATTTGTAGTGCTCCTTGTGAAATATCAATACTCGTCTCAACACTTGACAGCATGGATGGGGAATTGATATGAATGGGATATGATATGGGTATGGTTGTTTCAGTAAATTTACATGGAATATAAAAGACTATCACAATATCACTTTTTGCACTCATTTTTTGTTTGTTTGTGTGTGGCCAGGACAACACTATCTCACGACCAATTCGTACAAATTTGACGCATGATTAAAAAGTGTCTAATTCGTACTAATTCGTACGACCTCACTCGTACTAATTCGTACGATTTGTCTAAACCCACGTGATGGTTAGGTTTAGGGGCGGGGTAAGGGGTAGGTCATTCGTACGAATTCATACGAATTGGCCAATTCGTAAAATATGTACGATTTAGCAAAATCGTATTAATTCGTACGAGTGAGGTCGTATGAATTGTTACGAATTAGCCACTTTTTAATCATTCGTCGAATTCGTACGACTTGGTCGTGAGATCGGGTTGGGCCAGATGATTAAGGGCCAAGCACTGAAGGTAATCGTTGCCGTTACTTCTTCCACTCTGATAGTGAATAGCAGCCCATAGAACCGCTTGCAAGAAAGTTATGAAATTTGGCATATAGATAGAGCACAGTCGGATCTATCACCATAGCAAATTTGGAGTCTCTAACTCAATCCCTCTAGCCACCAACTATCCAAAATTTCACTTACATTTATGCTAATAACTTTATAACTGTAAGGGCTAGAAACAAAATTCGCAAGATGATATGATTTTCTGTCATGGACATTTTTCCACCATTTCAAATTTTCAGAAAAAAATACTTTTCTCTTAGGCCGTTGGTCTGATTTTCACAAAAAATTAACTTCAGATCCTGTCGACAAAAAGTTAAGGAATCGATTAGTTCTCGAATAATGCACAAACAAATTTGACGAAGAGCAAGCCAAAATGAACGTAAGGCTATATCTCCGCAACGCTTCACGTATTCTGACCAAACATGGTGTATATAGAGTGCCGAAGTGATGACGTCACTTTGTAGGACAACTCGGAAGCTAGCGGCGCATGGGTTCCCTTGGTCGAAAAGCAATGCATTTTCCCCATAGACTTTTGGAAAATCGCAAAAAATAAGATCTGTGTTCAACAAAGAGTTGTGACCCTTACACGTTTTGTCTAGCAAGATAATCTTTACAAGTTAATCCAAAATGTATACATTTTGAAGCCTATATAAAGATTTTTAAAAATACAGACACAATAAAGTTTAAAAAACCACAAGCAGGTTATAACTGTGTGTTCTATGTCATAGATCAAAACGTGAAAATATTTAGAGGCTTTGTTCACCACAGACCTTTTTTCAGGCAATTTAGCAAAAACCCATTCAAAAATCCCATAGGCTTTAGAGCGAGGGAACCGTAGTGCTAAAATGCTAACTCACTTCCGCGTTTTGGCCTACAGAGTGAAGTCGTAACTTCAGCACTCTATTATGACAACCATTTGTGACATCCACCTTCCTCTGGTCACACCACATCCGTTTTGTAGCAGGATTAGTTGACTGGTTGAGTTAACTAATAGCACCTATTAGTTGAAAGTGATAAATCGCTAAATCACATTACACATACTTTCAGGCATTTTGCCTGAAAACATCTTAATATGCTTTTAATCGCTTATTGTTGCAGTTGGTCTAATACTCATGATGCATAATTTAATATTATAAAAAGCTGTTATAATGCCCTGCTAATAATTTACAATAATTTAATAAAGCGTTATAATTTTAATCTTAAAAAGGACCCTTTATTTTGATCAAATTAAGTCTCAACATTGTTTTGTTAATCACTTCTTTACTAATTTATTATTTGTTTTTTTCCTGAGCACTTGTTTATTTTTGTTGGTTTGGGGCCAAATCTAGGGTTGTCAAATGTTTTTTTTTTTTTGAAAAAAACAACAACAACAAACTTGTAAATACGTTGATCTCATTTTATCATTGAGTAAATTGAGTTTTTTTTTTTTTTTTGCTGAGATCACAGACTTCCTGTTTTGCAATGTAGTTTCCTAACTCTCTCCACCCACACAAAAGAACAAAGACAGCAACCCAATAAATACAACTTTAATTGAATGATTACAGACCTGATCCAGAAAAACATCACTACATCTTGTGAAATTACAGGACCATAATAGCATATGTTTATCCACCCCACCCCACCCCACCCCCTCCCCCTTGTAAGAAGTTTGGTTGATGACTGTACATGCAGGTGAGCGTATTCTGAGATCTCACCTGCCCTGCCACCTCTGCCTCACCCCCTCCTTTGCCTTCCCACAACTAATTTCTAGCTGTTAAAGTCTCTAAACAGACAAATCTGGCTGAATTTTGTTCAACTCCCGCACACACACTCAGACACATACCAATGTAAAGACAGTAATACTGATATTGTTTGCATGATCTCTAATGCATCCATTAATAAACAGTGTCATAACTGGCTGTAGTTGAGAGATGAACACAGACATACAAAGAAACATACTATTTTTAAGCTCTTAAGAACATAGAAAACAAACAATTTTTTTTACACTGGACATAGTTGTCAGTCCCATCAACAGTCTTGCTCAGCAGTTACACAGACGACTTCATAAACCATGTCTAAGCTAAAAACTCTCTAGCTCTCCAGTTAAGTGTACTATTTTGCTACAATCAGCATTGTAAATGATTATTTTCAGTGTCATAGCCTAATATTGTGTAATAGTGCAATATTTTGAAACGTATTGTATGCAACAGTTTACAGGTGACGAATCAGACTTGGTGACTCTGTTGACAGTTTCTCAACAGCAAAAAAAAAAAAAGTTATGAATATTCTAAAGCATTGAAATCATGTCAGTATGTTTGTTCTGGTCCTGTGATCGATACACTTAAGAATAGGGCAGGTATTAAGAGTGCTAAAGATGACCATTTAATGAAAACACCAACACAAGGTGACCATATCTAATGAATCATTTAATTGTATTGTCACTGACTGAAATGTGCTGCTTCCCTTTATCTTTATTAAAAAAAATTGTTCGGATTAGACAAGTAAAAACGTGTGTGTTTTTTTTTTTTTAACAGAAGCTTATTTTTACTCTAGATGAACAGGATCCTTCATATAAGTTAATTCACTACCAAAAGTCAAAGAAAAGTCTAACTTGCATACAGATACACCTAAGTTCACAAAGCCCCTTCATTTTCTAATGCAGACTTGGCTCTACATCTCCATTACCTCTCTAAACCTCTCCTTTAGTGTCCAACCCTGATCTAGTGTCCTTTTTATGACAACCCTGCTTCTGTGGTTATTTACGGACCTGTCCGCTGTATATATGTGCGTGTGTGTGGAGACAGACATAGCAATCGCAATTTGTCCGACATGCAGTCACTGGCCTTACAAGTAATAAACAGGAACAAATCCCCCTTCTGAACAAGATCAAGAGAAAGAGTGAGGGAGAGGAAGGGAGGAGAGGTGGCAGAAGAGAGGCAGGTTCAGGGGGGGCACAGATAGCAGTGTAGAGGGGGAGGGGCTTGTCAGTGAGTAATCCCCGCCTCTCGTTCAGGATTCATCATTTTCGGCAGAGGGTGTGGTGGCATTAGGGGCTGAGGAGTCCAGGTCAGATTTATTGGAGATTCGGTCCAACTCAGCCTGGACATCTGTCAACCCCAACTTGGAGCCTGTGAAAAAACAAGATAAAATCGGATGGAATTAATAAGAGTACGCCGAACACATTTCATTTCATTTCATTATTTGGAAACAGTATTAACCAAAGCTTTAAAAGAAGATTCTGGGTTCATTACAAGTTAAGCTCAATCTGCAGCATCTGTGGCATAATGTTAATTACAACAAAAAATAAACGCACAAATATATATTTTGCAATTTAATACCTTAAAAAAATATGATTAAGGATCTTATAATGGAAGTAAACGGGGCTAATTCTTGCAGAATTTGATGATTATAAAAACACATTTATTCTTCTGTTTAACCTTTTGTTTACAGAGCTGTTTAAATAAATTGTATGGTTTTAGACATTACATTGTTTTGAAAAAAAGATCCCCCCCCCCCATGCTTTAATGTAAATATACATATTGTTTAAGTCTTTTGATTATTCTACACATTTACCCCATTAACTTCCATTGCAAGTGCCTCAGTGGATCCCAGATTTTGGCTTGAAGAGGGGGAATTTTTTGTGTGTAAATAAACACCATGCCACAGGTGCTGTCAATTGAGATTAACTTGTATTGTCCCCAGAATATTCCTAAATCAGTGACAAGGGATGGCAATACACTTAAAAACATAGCGTGTCAGTGTTTATGAGTCTGTGAGCCATTGCTTTCCAATTGATCAATGTTAAGCAGAAAGATCAGAAATAACATTTTTGGAGCTTGAAAGAGAAAAGTAAATGCATAAAGATGGAATGAATGGAGATGAAAGACTGTCAATGAACCTTCACACAGACTCACAACGCATTCAGCCTGAAAGCTGAAATGAAAATAAAAAATGAAGGAACATTCAGCCAACACAATAACTTTTAAGCATGCAATGAAAACTTTCACAAACAAACTTATTTTGAATAGAAATTGAGCTGTGAATGAGAACCATCTGTGTATCTAGGGCTTTAAAAGGTACAATTCACAATGCTGAGATTATGTTGATTTAGAAATGATCTTCATTCATTATCACAGTTTGACGGCCTATTGTATCTTAAGCCCAAAGTATACATCGGCCTTTATACATACACAAGGGTCTGCATACAGAGTGCGTGATGCATATTTCGTCACCAGAATAATATGCATGAAACCCAATTTTAATAACTGTGCATACTTCCGCACGTTCCGAATTCGTTTTGCACTAATCAGTTGTTCCACATGGTGGTAAAACTGATCCGGGCCACAGTGTTGCCCAATAGGACAGGTTCCTGCCCGATTGGGTTGGACCCGAGAAATAGACATTGGGCGGGTGGACAAAATTTGGGCTGTTTTTTTAAAATAAAAAACAACCTGAGCAGCTGCGTTTTTTTATTTATTTATTTTTTTAAATTGCATCTTATGTTTAGTCATTTTATTTAATACGTCTGAACACGTGTGAAAAATAATCCATAGTGCAGTCATCAACACACACAACCAATAAGGTTCAGTTGAACCAATCAGGGCCAGGTAAGGGAGACCAGTCAATCAATTTAGTCTTATGTTGGTGAGATGTGATGATGCGTTTTTGGCGCAACAAGGGACCAGATTTTGAAGGTGTAGCTGTATATTCAAGCAATCGCAATGAAATTTAAAACCATCCAGGCTATACTCGTATAGGGCAAAGTTCTCCATTAAATATCTCTACATTATTTACTTCACGTACATTGACGTACTGTAGTTCTGTCTGAACACAAAGATAAGCGCATTCTTGTCGTTGTTCATTTTTTGTTGTCGGAATTTCTTGGAGCGGGTGGATTTTGGTAATCTTTTTGGCTGGAAATCATTGACTCAATCTGGCCAGGCCATTGTTTCAAGTACAAATCGAAACTAAAAGAGACAGAACAACAACAGATGCCCACACTGACAGGCGCTTGTGTGAGGGAGTTATGAGATAGCCACAACTTTATATTTTTAGCAGTCATAACTTCAGTATGAACAGTAGTGTTATTGCATACAATTTACGTGGTAACACTTTACAATGGGTTCTTTAGTTAACATCAGTTATTGTATTAATTAATTAACTAACCATAAGCAATTTGTTACTGTATTTGTTAATCTTTGTTAATGTTAGTACAATAGTTCATTGTTTGTTCATTTTAGTTCACAGTGCATTAACTAATGTAAATAATTGTTGAATTTGAAATTATGTTGAAATTAACATTAACTAAAATTAATAAATGCTGTAGAAGTGCAGTTCATTATTAGTTCATGTTAACTAATGTAGTTAACTAATAAAACCTTATTGTAAAGTGTTACCATTTACTTGTCATTTAGATACACAGAGTGTAGTAGTAGCAGAAAATGCCAGGACCTTGTAATCAGTACCTAGAAAAACATGCGAAATTTAAAGATAAACTATGGAATTAATGAAGCTTCATGCAGTGATTATTATTAGGAGGCCTTACATTGTGTAATTTGAAACTAAGTGTTAATAACAAAGCAATAAGACGGGGGGCCCGAAACGAGAAGGACAGTGATGTATAACACATGCCAAGTTAAACATGCACAAGTGTGTGTAAAAGTGCTAAAAGAAATTCATAGCGGTTATAAAAAGGGAGATTGCAGCACTGGTTAAAGCAAAAGGAAGTGAGGGAAAGTAGCCTAACACACCTTAGCGTGGCCAACATCCCCTGGCTAACACACATGATGAAAGACAGTTTGAAGGGGTTAAATATCATGACTGGTGATTGACAGTGCACACGAATGTTGTTGCTCACTCATTCATACATAAGAACGAAAAGGAAAAAAGGGTAAAAAAAACTATAGACTTACACATAGTAACAAAAAGAAAATCAGGGCAGAGGATGATGATTGGGAGAGGCACTGTCACTAAAGACGTACTTTACCTTTACTACACTGCCATAAAACCAAGCTGCATTATGGGTTCAAAAACAAACCAAGATGCAGAAGCAAAATATGAAAGAACACAATAGTCTATGCCGTAAAATGACTGTGTTAGCTGTGTTAGTTTTAAAGCTTGAAAGTTAAAAGCTAAATTTGTACAAACCCTTAGTGAGCATGTTAAACATATGCATTTACTGTCAATAATTCAGCCCAAGCTATTGTTGTTTAATTTTTTACTCCTATTACTTATTAAAGGGTTAGTTCACCCAAAAATGAAAATTCTGTCAGTAATTACCCTCATGTTGTTCCAACCCCACAAGACTTTCATTCATCATTCGGAACAAAAATATATTAGATATTTTTTTATTAAATTTTTTATTGAGAGCTGGATCACTCCTCCATAGGCTTCTATTGTATTTGAAACTTGTCGGCCCAGAAAGTAAATAAAAACATTGTTAAAATAGTCCAAATGACTACAGTGTGAGCAACCTTAAGTTTATCAAGCAACAAGAATACCTTTTGTGCAAAAAACAACAAAAAACAAAACAAAAATAACGACTTTATTAGACTATTCTGTTTTTTTTTTTCTATGTGGGCCTCAGATACCCCTTTTCCACCAAGAAAAAGAACTGGTTCGGAAATGGTGCTGGTTCAAAGTTGGTTCGGAGTTGGTTCAACTTGCGAACCGCTTCAGAACCTATTTGTTTTTCCACTGACTACTAGAGCGCCCAGGGAACGACGTCGTTACATCACTGTGTACGTCGCCATACGTCTTAGGTAGAAACTCTTGCAAGTACAAATTACTTTGGGATTATCTCTAACTCGTGTACCAAGAAGGCTTTAAAAACAATTGAAATATGTAAGTCATTTAATATTTTCATTTGATATGTAATCTTGTCTGATAAGTTATGTACCCCTGTCTTGTGTCTTTTTTTCTTTACATTTAATTGTTCTATATTGTGACTGTTTTCTTCTTTACTTATAATGTCTTAAATAAAACAAATACAAAAATAGAAACGCTTGCGTTAAATTCAAGCATAACAATTACAAAGGCGGACTCCATCGTGTTTGTGCAAATGTTTCTCTTGGCTTTGCGATCCTTTATTATGGCCAGAAAAGATGTTTAGAACACATCTAAACCCGCCCCAGAACGGTTCTAGTCCAGCAAAGAGTTGGTGCCGCTTTGGAACCAGTTCTCCTGGCCGAGAACCGGTTCTTTGGCTGTTGAAACACAAAGAACTGGTTCACGCGCAGGCACCGGCTCCAAACCGGCTCTCAAAATGCTTTGGTGGAAAAGGGGCTAGAGTGAGTTCCCATAGTGAAACAGATGTTTCAACAATGTTTTTATTTACTTTCTGGGCCAGCAAGTTTCAATTACATAGAAGCCTATGGAGGAGTGAGCCAGCTCTCAGATTTCATCAAAAATATCTTAATTTGTGTTCTGAAGATGAATGAAAGTCTTACGGGGGTTGGAACAACATGAGGGTGAGTAATTACTGAAACTTTTGGGTGAAATAACCCTTTAAGCTCTTGTTCCATTTTAATGTTCAAAGCGATAATTCATATAAAAATAAGATGTTTTTGAAGAGTGTTTTAACTGCTTTTGTCCATATGAAAGCCCTTAACAACTATGAACCCCCTTAACTTAAATTGTATGGACAAAAAAAAATGTTCCACAACAGAAAGTATATCATAGAGGTTTGGAACAACATGAGGGTGAGTAGGAGATGACAATTTCATCCATTTAAGGAGGTTGCATGTGCTAATTTGCTCTGTTGCGTTTTGGGATAGATTACTGGGTTATTAGTTATCTGATGACATTTTAGCTTGAATGATAAGCTGGGATTTTAGCTGCACATGCAGAGAAGATTTTATCAAATATATTTATTTTACCGTTGCTGATGTCAGAGATCTGGGATGGGAGGATAAATGTGCAGGAGAGGAGGGTTATGAGGACAAAATAATGACAAACAAACAAAAAGAGAGAATGGGACAAACTTAAGTGGAATCACACATGTACAACATGAACAAGACAAGATTTGAAGTGTTTTGCAGATAATCTGACAGACCTGTTCCTCCATTTGTAACTTCAAGATTCTATCATCTACTGTGTCAACATAAGTCTTTCTGAGGGCTGTATGTCA